TCCTCCTCCTCCTCCTCCTCCTCCTCGGGCCACCGGCCTCGCCACCCTGCGGCGGCTCCTCCGGGGGCCCCCGCGGAGCGGCAGGCTCCATCCACTCGAGGTCCTTCGGCGCGAAGCACCGCGCCGGCTGTGTGTTCCCCCCCCCAGCAGGGCATCAGTGGCATACATACACACATACCTGCCTACCTGCCTGCCCACCTACCTACATACATACAGCCATCTATCCATACATACACATATACGCACACACATACAAGCATACATGCATACCTGCATACATGCATACATGCATGTATGCATACATACATACATACATAGACTCATACGCACGTACATGCATACACCCATACATACATACATACATACATGCATGCATGCATGCATGCATACATACATACACACATACACACATACATGCATGCATGCATGCATGCATACATACACATACATACATACATACATACGTACATACATGCATGCATGCATGCATACATACATACATCCAATACATACTTACATTACATTACATTACATTACATTACATTACATTACATTACATTACATTATATTACATTACATTACATTACATTACAATACATTACATTACATTACATTACATTACATTTGCATTACATTACATTACATTACATTACATACATGCATGCATGCATACATACATACATAGCACCCCGCAATTGCGGATAAGAGTGAGGGGGCGGGCGCGGGCGACGCGGGCGTCGTCAAGCCGGCGGACCTCGTGGCCCCCACCTTCCTTGTCGATGGCGCTCTCCTCCTCCTCCTCCTCCTTCTCCTCCTCCTCCTCCTCCTCCTCTTCCTCCTCCTCCTCCTCCGCCTCCTACTCCTCCTCCTCTTCCTCGTCCTCGTCCTCGTTCTCATCGTCATCGTCGTCCTCCTTCTCCACATCGTCCTCCTCCTCCTCCGCTCTTTCCTCGTCCTCCCTCTCCCCCCCTCGTCCTTCCATCATCGTCCTCCCATTGTCGTCATGTTCCTCCTCGTCGTCCTCCTCTTCCCCCCCTCCCGATCCTCCACCCTCCTCCTTTTCGTCGTCGTCGTTGTCGTCGTCGACGTCATCGTCGTCGTCCCCTCCCTCCTCCTCCTCCTCCTCCTCCTCCTCCTCCTCCTGCTCCCTCCTCCTCCTCCTGCTGCTCCTCCTCCCCTCCTCCTCCGCCTCCTCCTCCTCCTCCCCCTCCTCGTCCTCCCGCAAAAGCAGCCCGCCGCCAGGCGCCGAAAAAATCCCACCAGCCCTCTGGGCGTAGGTGGTCTAGAGCAGATCCTCTTCCACCCCTCCCTCTTCCCCCTTGGGGAGGGGTTTACCCCTCCCCCTACCCCCTCCCCTGGACCTGGACGGGGGGGGCCGCGGGTAGTTAGAGCGTCCCAGATGGCCCAAGACGGCTCCAAGAGCGCCTCAGAGAACCCAAGATGAGCTCCAAGATGGCTCAAGATAGCGCAAGATCGCTCGAGATGGCTCCTAAGATGGTTCCAAGAAGCCCAAAGACGGCCCCAAGATAACTCCAAGTGGCCAAACAGCTCCCCAAGGAGGCCCCGAAGAGGCCAAAATCGTCCCAAAACCTAAGGAAAATCAATGATTTTTGCTTTCTCGCCTTTTCGCTTCCGATGGCCATCCGAGGCCTGGAGATGGTTCCAAGATGGCCCAAGAGGGCCCCAAGAGAGCCCCAAAAGAGCCCCAAGACGGCCCCAAGAGCGCCCAAGAGCACTCCAAGAGCGTTCCAAGAGGGGTCCAAGAGGCGATTTTAGGGGCTTCCGAGGGGGGGCGCTAATTAAACCCCCCCTCTTGTTTGATCGATCTCCTCCAAGATGGCCCCAAGAAGCGCCCAGGAAGCCCCAAGAGGTCCCAAGATGGCCCCAAAATGGCCCCAAGAGGCCCCCAAGAGGCCCCCCGGAGGCCCCCAAGAGACCCCCAAGAGGCCCCAAGAGCCCCCCCAGATGCACCCAAGATGCTCCAAGAGGCCTCGGCGAGAATGCCTAATCATTGATTCTACACAGGTTTTAGCCACATGGAGGCCTCTTGGGGGGGGGCACGGATTAAGATGACTCCAAGAGCGTCTGGGAGAGCCCAAAATGACCTCCAAGATGGCTCAAGATATCCCAAGATGTCTCATAATGGTTTCCTCTGTGTGCTGCCCACTTCTCTGATCGAGGCAATTCCTCTGGGCATCGTTTCTGGATGGGCTGGTGGGGATTCGCGAAGCGACAACAATTGGTTTGTACACTGAACGTGGTTTGGGTCGCGGGTGGGCCGCGGGTTCTCCACCGGGAACGAATGCAAAAGATACTCGACGCAGGCGCCGAAAAAATTGGCTTGTACCCTGAACGTGGTCGCGGGTGGGCCGCGGTCTCTCCACCTAGAACGATTCAAAAGATGCCCGCCGCAGGCGCCGAAAAATGTGATTTGTACCCTGAACGTGGTTTGGGTCGCGGGTTGGTCGCGAGTTGATCGCGGGGTGGGTCGCGGGCTCTCCACCTGGAAGGAATGCAAAAAAAGCCCGCCGCAGGCGCCGAAAATGTTGGTTTGTACCTTGAACGTGGTTTGGGTCGAAGGTGGGTCGCGGGTGGGTCGCGGGGTGGGTCGCGGGTGGGTCGCGGGTGGGTCGCGGGTGGGTCGCGGGCGGGTGGGTCGCGGGGTGGGCCGCGGGCGGGTCGCGGGGTGGGTCGCGGGTGGGTCGCGGGTGGGTCGCGGGGTGGGCCGCGGGGTGGGTCGCGGGGTGGGTCGCGGGTGGGTCGCGGGTGGGTCGCAGGGTGGGTCGCAGGGTGGGTCGCGGGGTGGGTCGCGGGGTGGGTCGCGGGGTGGGTCGCGGGTGGGTCGGGGTGGGTCGCGGGTGGGTCGCGGGTGGGTCGCGGGTGGGTCGCGGGTCGCGCGGGTGGGTCGCGGGGTGGGTCGCGGGTGGGTCGCGGGGCGGGTTGCGGGTGGGACGACGACAACAAACAACACACAACAACAACAACAACAACAACAACAACAACAACAACAACAACAACAACAACAATCATTTTACCCGAACGCGTGGTGTTCTCCCCAGTGCCAGGGTTTTCATACGACACCAGGCAATACCCCCACTTCGTGGGGGGGCATTACAAGCTCTACCAAATATCCAAACGACTCTTCGCGACCACCCAAACCCAGCTTCCCGCCCTATGACGTTGGGACACTTCACTTCGTGGCGTGCGGACGACCGTGGCTACTACACTGGCGTGGGGTACACACCCACAGAACTTGGTCACTTATTCGGGGCGCGCATGTGCCCAGCATGGTGCAATTGTGCCATACAATACATAATACAGAGAGACAGAGAGAGAGACAGAGAGCAGACAGAGAGAGTGACAGAGAGAGCGGAGTTGGTCACATTTTTGGGTCCAGTTCCTGGGATGATGGGAATACACAACTCTGTTACATTCGGCGTGCGCGCGCGAAGAAAAAACGAATGTGTCCCGCATGGTATTATTTGACAGGGATGATGGCCCTGGCAGGTGCGCAACCGTTGTCGCAGAAGTTCGAAAAAGTTGCTCGCAAAAGCCCGTTTGACAGAAATGTTTAAAAAGTGTTGGGTTTCCTACGAATCCGCAAGAGCGCGCGGGATGAGATTTTGACATTTTTTTGTTGAAAAACCATTGGTTTTTTGATGTTTTTATGTTAAAATCGCTCCGAACACTAAGCTTTTGGAAGGATTTCGTCTTGCGCGCGCGAATGTCCACTTTACCTTATTTTTTGCAAGGGATTCTTGAAATTTGATTATATTAGAACAAGAAATGTCATTTTATAGTGTTTTTTGCAAGGGAAAACGGATTACAACAAAACAACCGGATCTTGATCACATCGAATTACCTGAGGCTTCCTCACGAAAATGATGAAAATGTAGCTGCGGCCTAGGCGGCGCAGGGGGGCCGTGCACCAGGGGCCCAACAATAATTATTCTTTAGAATTAATAATGTTCAACAATTACTAGCACGTGGGGACACTCCGTTCTCACCAGTGCCAGGGTTTTCATAGGAGGCGGGCAATACCCCCACTTTGTGGGGGGGCCGGTTCAAGCTCTACCAAATTTCCAAACGACTCTTCGCCACCACCCACACCCAGCTTCCCGCCCTATGACGTTCGGACACTTCACTTCGTGGCATGCGGACGACCGTGGCTACTATTCAGGGCCCCGCGGCCGACGACGACGGCGTGCGCGCGCGAAGAAAAAACGAATGTGTCCCGCATGGTATTATTTGACAGGGATGATGGCCCTGGCAGGTGCGCAACCGTTGTTGCAGAAGTTCGAAAAAGTTGCTCGCAAAAGCCCGTTTGACAGAAATGTTTAAAAAGTGTTGGGTTTCCTACGAATCCGCAAGAGCGCGCGGGATGACATTTTGACAATTTTTTTGTTGAAAAACCATTGGTTTTTTTTGATGTTTTTATGTTAAAATCGCTACGAAAACTAAGGTTTTGGAAGGATTTCGTCTTGCGCGCGCGAATGTCCACTTTACCTTATTTTTTGCAAGGGATTCTTGAAGTTTGGTTATGTTAGAACAAGAAATGTCCACTTTAGCTTATTTTTTGCAAGGGAAAGCGGGCCGTAACAAAACAACCGGATCCGGACCAACCCGTTTTGCCTGAGACTTCCTCACGAAAATGATGAAAATGTGGCTGCGGCCTAGGCGCGGCGGGGGGGCCATGCACCAGGGGTCCCAACAATAATTATTCTTTAGAAGTAATAATGTTCAACAACCAACAGCAACAACAACAACACGAATCCGCACCGCGGAATCTCACTTCAGCCACGCACCCAGGGACAATGAATGACCGTTCGGCCCCCTCACTCTGACATACATACATACATACATGCATACATACATGCATACATACATAAATACATGCATGCATACATGCATGCATACATTCATACATGCATACACACATACATACATACACACGTACATACATGCATGCATGCATGCATGCATGCATGCATGCATGCATATATACATACATACATACACACATACATACATACATACATACATACATACATACACACATACACACATACATACATACATACACACATACATACATACATACAT